GTGGTCCCCACAGCACAGGCGCTGGGTGGAAGGCATGGGAGTAGGAGCTGCTTCAGAGAGTCACTCGCGGAGATTGCTAATAACTGCAGGGGATGGGATCATCTGTTTGTAAAGTTGATGGGAATGGGGCTGTTGACATTTAGGAATTAATATTAAGTTTTAGGGACATGGCCACTGACACGGGCTAACAGTCTAGGTAGGCTATTAGCCAGTGAAGATGACTCTGTCAATCCAGGAAGACAGAAAGGAAGGCAGCTGGGATTATAAGGGCAACGAAGACGTAGATGGAACATGGAATGTGAAGACAAGGTTTTGGCTGAGGAAGTGACTTTTAACTCTGGAGATGAGGCTACTGACTTAGGGATATGGGTCTCCTGATCAGTGGGGTGGGGTAACAGGTCACAAATGTGAGGTCATTTCCTTGTGTGGAAGTGGGTATAGGTGTATTTCTTGATGGGGGGTGTGTGTGAAACTGAGACTGAGATAGACTGTTAACCAGGAGTCCAGAGGAGACTGTAGAGCAGTCAGTGGGATCATCCTTGTCCTCTTGCAGATCCAGCTGCTTGGGCTAGCTCTGCCAGCACCCCATCCTTTCTACCAGCCCTGCCCCCACAGAAGTCCTCACCTATCCGCGGGGTAACCGAGGAACAGGTAGCCGGAGGCGAAGCCCAAGATGAAGAGGATCTGCTCCAGGATCACCTGCCAGCCCAGGTCACACACCAGATCCCACTGGGGATATGAGAGGGGTGCAGCTGCATCAGGCTGGGTCCTCGCTGCCCTGGTCGGCTCCCACTCCAGATCCCACCCAGTTGCCTCACCTGACCGATGGCATTGGTGGTGAGCACTGGTAGTCCGTTATAGTCCCAGTCCTTCAGGCAATGGTTGAAGTCCGGCGGGGCGAAGCCACTACACGAAGGGTCGGTACTGGTGACGACTCGGCTGGCGGCGCTGGCTGCTAGGGCCGCTCCGGCGACGCTGACGCCGCTGGCGTTGGGGGGCTGCTCCCAGCCCGAAGCGTTGGGGGGCAAGGCGCCGTAGTGGCAGTGCAGCGGGGGCGCCAGCGTGAAGATGGGGTCTGAGGCCATGCCCAGCGCCACGAAGAGCACGGGTAGGCAGCACAGGCCGAGCTGCAGCTGCTGGCCGCCACCCAGCGCCCCCACCTGGGCGAGCAGAGCCTCGAAGCTGAGGGGGCCCGGGGGCGCGGCCAGCGACAGGCTGCTGCCCAGCGCGTCGCCCTCCCCCTCCCTCCGGCGCTCCCGCTCACCCTGCAGCTGCTCGGGGGGCACCGCATCTCCGAGGCTCCCGACCTGCTGTGGCGAGGGGTAGGGGAGAGAAGGTGAGGCAGGGGAGACCGTGGGCACGCGGGGGGACGTGGGTGGGAGGAGGGCGGGGAAAGGTCGGCCGAGCCCCCGGGGCGCTGATACTTACTCCATTGGCGTTGGGGGCGATCTCTACGGTGCTGTCGATTTTGCTGCCGCCCCCGCCATTGGGCTCGGGGGTCCCGGTGGCCACTCGGGGAGCCAGCTTGCCGACCGCAGGGGCCCTGTCGGCCGCGCCGGAAGAATGAACTGGTGTCTGGCCAGCTGTGTACGCAGGGCTGGGACGCCGAGGGCCGCGAGACCCCGCTCTGCAGCTCTGCAGCCGCGGGCGCCTCCTCCGTCTCTACCGTCTCTGCGCTGCTTTCCCCTCCCCTTCCTCCAGACTCTCCTCCCCTTCCCACGTCAGCAGAACCTGGGTCCAGACTGTTCGTCAGAGATGAAGGGGGGCCAGGGCCCGCGTGGAAGTAGGGACTGGGGTCTCGCTGTTTGTTCCTTGGGACTGCAGGCCATTGCGGTTTTAAAAGAAAATGTGAAGGATAGAAGAAAGCTGGGGGAAATGCTAAGATTCCTTCTCATTTTAGTCTTCCTTAGAAGACTTCCTTAGTGCATGCCACTCATGCATCCACTGTCCGCCCCTCCACATTGATTTTATCAATAAAACGTATTAAGAGCCTACTGTATCCCGGGCCGTATGTGAGTGCTGAAGGATTTGTAGGTGGTTTCTAGGGGAGGCAGATGTGGAATTCGGTAATTGCAGGATGGGTTATGCAGATGGAGGAATCAGTTGGCACCATGCGTCACTCTCTAGCTTCAGTTCTCTACTAGGGGACAGGTCTCTGGGTTTCCCCACATCCAGCTTGGTTGAATCGCCATTTCCAGCCGCATTTGGCGCTATTGACCACCTCTTCTTCTAAACTTCCTCCTCTGACCGCCAAGTTTCACCTTCTCCGGGTTTTTCTCCACGACAACCACACACTCCTCCTCTTCAGCACCACTCCGTTTATGCCGTCCTTCCTATCTCACGCCACTGCCTCTGTGCTATACGTGCTAGAGATCATCGACCCAGACAATGTACACCTGTGTCCTATTTCCACCTCTGGTCAGAGTCCTGGGTCAGTGAAGCAACCTCTCGGTGACCCATATAACCTTGAATGTCCCTTCAGGTCCTCAAGAAAGGAATCATGCAACACCCTCTCCCATAACCTGGGCATCTTCTATAATGCCCCCATCTTTGAGGGGATGGCATCCTCATCATTTACCTCTGGTCAGATGTCTGGCATTTGCCCTTGAAATGCCTTCTTCACCTCACATCAAGTCCCTAACAAAATGCTGTTACTACCTCTATAGTTTTCTTCCTCGGGTGGGCTGCTGTACTCCTAGTTCCCAGCTCGTGTGAGGAACCCACTTTGTTTCTCTCCGTCTGTTACTTAAGGTGCAGATGGAATGATCTTTTAAAAGGAACAGGTATTTAAATGTTTTACTTATTAGTGTGTAAGTGCGTGGTGTGTATGAGTAGGTGTGCATGCCGTGCTGCATACGGTGGAGGTCAGAGGATACTGGAGAAGAGTGACCGCCATGCTCGCATGCTGGACCACCTTGCCAGGCCCCCAGATGGAGGTCGGACTACATCTCTGTCCTGCTCACCGGCTTTCAATGACGCCTCTCACCAAGGAAGAGATAGTCTAGACAATGCATACCTGGGCCTACTGCCTGGTCACACGCCTCTCTGCAGTCACATCCCACCTCCCCACCCCCGCATTCTAACCACCTGGGCTGACCTTCGTTTTCCCAGCATCTTGGGGCTTTGGTGCAGGCTGGTTCCTATGCGCAAGGGCTTCTTCCACATTCCCTTATCCTTTGGCTGTCAGTTCAAGTCTCTTTGCCTCAAAGTCACCTCTCCTAAACCCCAGACTTGCTATGTGAAGTGCGGTTGATGGACTTGCTGCATCCATACCGCTAGGGAGACTGCTAAACATGCACAACCTTGGTATCATCCAGACCCTTGAACCGTAATTTTCAACTGGATACCCAGGCATATGGATATTAAAATTAGGCACGTATTCCTTGAAGAGGTGTAATGCTTGATAGACTATTCCACCCGCCACTCCGGAAGTCGAGTATCCAGAAAGGGGTAGTCTCGGTGATCTTGTGATTATCTCCTCTGAACCACCCTGGAAGAAGACTAAGCCACAGGATCGCTGATCCATCACTTTTGCTCAGAAATTCTCCAAGTACAGGAAAGACGTCTCTAATATAAGTGCCCTCGGACCATCTCCCCCTAGTGTCTCAGAATTACTGGGCTTCTTATGGCCTGAAATCCTGGGGCTAGTTGGTTGGTCTCCAGCCTTCTCTTTATCTTGGGACAATAATCCCCCCCCTTTTTTAAAAAAAGACATGGTCTCACTATGTAAACCAGGTATAAAAATCCACCTGTTTCTGTTTTCCAGGTGCTGGGAGTAAAGATGTGTGATAGCCCAGCTTAATAATTCTTTAGTTTTATGCTTTTTTCCCCAAAAATCCTGTAAGGCCGTTTTGATCACCCCCATACTGAAGCTAAAGGCAAGTCTCAAAAGAGGGGTGAGTTACCCACAGACACACAAGTCCATGACACATCTAAGATTTGAACAGACCCCCTCTTCTGAGTTCATGGTCCTTTCTGGAAGGCATATCTGGGAGATGGGAATGGCCTTCAATGTATAGGGGTGAATTTGTTGGCTCCCATATTTGAAAATGTTTTCCTTCAAGTAGGATGAGAAAGGCACTCAAAATTGAAGAGGCAAATGCACAAGGGTGCCAAGATCCAAAGAGTATGATTAAAACTCGAGGTTCCTGGGAAAGGTTAACCAAAGTGATGACAGCTGCCTTCTCTTGTAGCTAAAGGCCTGAGTCAATGTCATTTAAGCCATGGCCCTAATCTCATCAAACTTCTGAGGCTCTCTAACCGACTGCATGTATCTGCGGTCTCGGATAGTCTAAGAGATGGAAGGCCGGGGAAAGTGGAAGGGTGGACTCTCCGAAAGTCACCTGAGGAAGCCAGGTCACTCAACAGCTGCCTTTCGGGTGTTTAGCACTGGCCTGTGGTGGCAAACTGTTTCCTTTCCCTTTGGGGTGCTCTTTAAAGAGGGACCTTTTGAGGCTGTTGTGGCCAAATTCTCCACATCTGCACCTCTTTAATGACGTCATGTGACAGCAAAGTCTGGGAGCGCTAGCACTAAGACCCTTCTTAGGTCTTCCACTCTGGGTCGGCTCAGGCATCACCTCCCAGTCTTTGTGGCCAAGATCTCCTTCCCCAACTGCTCCCTTCACCTAGTCTCTCCTATTACCTATTTAGTTCCAGCACCAGTCACTTCTTTGAGACAGGGTCTCACAATGTAGACCAGGCTGGCCTAGCTCACAGATCCAGATCCACTGTGTCTGCCTCCCAAGTGCTAGGATTTAAGTATGCATCCGGGCTTTTTTAACATGCACTTTCAGTAATAACTTGATGTCTACCCCAGTTTTGCGGGAGTAGTACATTCACTGTGTACTTGTAGAACTTTGTCTGGCCCATTGCAGAAGCTGAGGACTAGTCTATCAGATAGATTTTGAAGGAATAAAATTACCCCTCACACGTGTGTCCCTCAGGAATGGTGAGGGGTACTGTGTCTTCCCCCCCAGGCTCTCAAGAAGCAGAGTCAGGGAGCCAGATGGCAGGGTTTATTTAACCATGGCCAGCTGGCCTGACCTGTGAGGGGATGAGCCTTCTAGTAGTTTCCCAGACTACTACATTCTGGGCAATTACCGCCCTGCCTCACTCTCAGAAGAGCGTGAGGTGCTGGTCATTCTCAGTCAAGAAACAGGAGAGAGGCTCTGTGTAGCCCCGCGTCTCAGCCACCAGACTTTCCATGCTCCAAACCCCCAAGGCAGAAGGCAGTACAGCGACCTCCACCCCAGTCTGATGAGGAAGATCCAGTCCCTTCCCGCCCCAGAGGGCCTGATGCCTGCCTGGACAAAGCAAGAAATATTAAATATAAATAATTTATACAAAATGGCTCATACAAAAAGCAGTAGGTAAGGGGAAAGAGATGCCTTGGTGAGTGGCTAAGACGACCAAAAGAGATGAAAAGGGGAAGAATCCCCTCCTTCCCTCGACAGAGCCCTCTAGCCACCCTCATGGAGCAGGGCTCTGGCAGGCAGGAGAAGCTAAGGCTGCAGGAACAGGCCCTCAGGGGAGCAGGCCAGCGAGCAAGTTGGTAAAACGCAAGGCCTGCCCTGCAAGCTCTGCTACACACCGTGCCATCTCTTGGACTGCGGTGCCAGACGGGTAGCCCAAGGCAGCCCCTTTGACAGCAAGCACAGTAGCCCGCAGAGTCTGGCCTAGCATTGTACCAGCAGCCCCAACCTGTGCTCGGAGAGGTGCAGAGGCTGCCAGTCGGCCTAGGGTGTCCCCAACAAACACCAGGCGGTGAGCAGCCACCACCACTCGCTTGCCATGGGGCACGAAGAGGCACGGAGGCTGGTTGGCCTGGGTACTGGACATGAGAGCGGCCACAGCAGCCTGCAGAGCTGAGTAGTGGCTCTGGCACTGCCCTGCGTAGAAGTGCAGAAGCTGGAGGTCTCCGGTGGACAGGACCAGCGGCTCCTCTGGGGACAGGACTTCCTGTGGAGAAGAGGAGGGTCAATGAACCATCAAGGCCACTGCTGCTCTTTTTTCCCTCATTCCCTCTGTTCTTCATTGAGTGCAATCCCTTTAGCTTTTCTCACCACAGAGAATTTAGATTCTCAGAGACAGCAGTGAAGGGCTCAGAGTTGACAGAAAGATCTGGATTCAAACAGTGTCAGGCAACTTCAGAGAAGTCTCTGAATTTCCTTGGTTCCTTATCTCAGAGTAGCCTAGAGCTGGGGATGAGGTTCTTTGTCCTAGTCTTGCCTTGTATATGTAAGGCTTGGCTTTGGTTCCCAGTATCATACTGTCCAACATCAACACAACACAAGCCATGCTTTCCATATATTTAAAAAGTCAGAGCATCCAGGTATATCAGTTGACTTATGTTCATACCGACTCTGCAAAATCAAGTCTGAGATGAGCATAGTTGCTCACATCTGTCACTCTAGTAGTTGGGACACTGGGACAGGAGGCTTGCTGTGAGTACGTGAAGTCAAAAGACAACTTCTGAGAGTCTGTTCTCTCGTTCCACCATGTGGGTCCTTAGATCCAACTCAGGTCATTAGACTTGGAGCCAGCGCCTTTACCCACTGAACCACCACACCGGACTCTGTTACATTGTAATTCAAACTAGCCACATTCCAAGTGCTCAGAAGTCATACAGGTAACTATCAGATGGTGCAGGTCTAGCTTGTATTTGGGCGACGGTGATCACTGAGACAGAACGCTGAACTGGCTTATCACAGTTAACTACGCACAATGTAAGCCCCACACGAGCATCACTGCAACCGCGATGGCGCATGCAGTCATCCTAGCATGGGAGCTGGCACTCAGCAAACACCTGATGGACGGAGGCTACGAAAGGCCATCCTTCTGGTCTCTGGCTAAGATCAGGTATTAATGGGGTTGAGGAAACTGCCTCACTTTCAAGGTCCAGAAAGATAAGGCAAATGCTACAGATCCCAGTTACTCAGCGGTGGAGCCCGGCTTAGAAGCCAGTCTCTTAGGAGCCCAGGAATTCACTCCTGGAGGGAGGGCACCCGGCCAGCTTTGCTCCATCGCCCGGACATTCCTTCTGCTCTCCCAGCTCCCTGACTTCTCTCCAACACATTCTTTTCTCTTTTCCCAGATTCTTAATAAACGCTTCCATGTTCTAGCACCTCCTGCGGACTAACTCCTTTTTGTCCTGACCCCATTTCCCGCATACTCAGCCCCACCCCACCTATCTCGCAGATGGCTTGGTTAGGAATATCTATTCCCTTAAGTTCCAGTCCACCTTGTCTGGCACACCCCTCCAGGTTTACCTGCTGTTCCAGCAACCCCCTCTCTGGCAATTCAGGACCGGCTGGGAAAGCTTTATCCAGGGGTCTGGAACTCTGCGCTTTATCCACACCCTGCAGGGGGATCATGTGTCAGTCAGTGGTAGTGAAAGGGAGCAAACTTCAGGCCTCCATGGCCTCTGGGACCCTTCCTAGTCTCTTTTCAGGGAAGGATTCTAGCATGGAAGCTGGCAGTCCTTGTGCTGACAGCTGTTTAGCTTCATGCTGGGGTTAGGGATGGATGTGGCACTCGCTCAAGCTGCAGTCCCAGGCTAGAGGCCAGGAGAGGGGGACCGAGCTAGGGAGACCCTTCTGGCGCGGCTGCCCAGGCCCTCACCTTCAGGTGCACATAATCATACTCCTCGGCCGTTGGGATGCCTTCGTACTCATTGTGAGGGGCTGCTGAGCCGTCATCTACCTCCCTGCACTCCTGATCTCCGTAACCAGGCAGGCAGGGTGGGGGAGGCGGGAGGGGCCTGTCCTGGATACTGCCCTTTCGGCCTGGGGCAGGAGAGGGTGCTGGGGAAGGGGTGGGAGCCTCAGAGACAGGCAGGGCAGGCAGAGGGCGGCGGGACAGGCTCTCGGTGGAGGGCAGCCTGGGCCTGTGCTGGAGTGGAGGGCTTTTGGTCAGAAGCTGGGCCACAGTGTCCAGGTCAGTGGAGGAAGAAGCTCCAGGTGACTCTGGAGATGGTGACTCTGGTCCCAGCAGAGGCACATCATAGATGTCTTCCTCTGGGTCCCTGCTTTCCCCATTTGCCAGTAGTTCCTCGGGGGCTTCATACAGGTTGAGGAGAGCTGACGCCCGTTTCAGGTTTGATGGGGCAGCGTAGATGGGAGGCCCTGGTTCCCGGCCCCCTTCCCATTCCAGATCTGGCTCCAGCTCAGCAGATGGCTTCAAGGCCAGGGGCACATCGTAGGGAGCTTCATCCTCTCCAGGGGACTGTGGGTCAACTGGAGCCAGAGGACAGGAAAAGGAAGCTGGGGAGTCATATGGACAGCTGGAGGGAGCCCGGAGGACGTTGGGAGGCACATCATAGACCTGGAGGGAGGGATCAGTGTTAGCCATCAGCTCAGCAGTAGACCACCCTTGAGAATTAACTCTGGCCCTCCCCCAACACAGCGTTCTCACCTCTAACACATCTCTGGGGGCAGTGAGCTGTGTCCCATTGACTCTGGGAACCTTGTAGATGGAGTCGGGAGAGGGTGAACAGGATCTAGCAGGAGGTCCTGAGGCAGGGCAGGGTCGAGCTGGTGGTGGCACCACATACACCTAGGGGATGAAGAGGTGGGCGTGTCAGGAGTGGAAGTCACCGGCACAAGTACATATAACTTCAGGAGCTTACAGAGCTTGCAGCCTCCTCCCTCCATCCTCCCTGTGCCGAGCTTAGAAAGAGAAGGCAGACAGACACCAGACAGGTCCCGGATGCCAGACCTCAGGCCCTGGATGGGGCAAAGACTGCCAGGCCTGGGGTGATGCGAGGCTCTAGTTCTTACCTCCTGCTCCTCACTGCCAGGCTCTGGGGTGAGACACGATGAGCCAGGTTGGGCGGGAGATGCTGGGGCGAGGCTAGGCTTGGGCGCTGGGCCAGCAGGAAGGAGCTTCACTCTATTAGCAGGCACGATACCCTGCTGGCCATGCAGGGAGCAAAGGCACCAGCCATCTAGGCCGCCAGCACCCTCCCTCTGCAGTACCCGTAGAACATCTCCTCTGCGGAACGACAGCTCCTGGGGGGACTCAGCAGTGTTATCGTAGAGTGCCCGGGCAAGCTGGGCCTGGCGGGGAGGTTGGGAGAGAAGAACTCTCACAGACATGCATGAGGCCCTGTAGACCAGACCAGCCTCCCAGTTCATTCAAGGTTGACTCAGCTGCTCCTGATTAGGCTCTGCCTTGTCATCATCACGGAGGGCCCGCTTCTCTTCCTCCTCATGCTCTGACCTAGCACCTTCCCATCTTAGTGCCTTTGCACTTGTATTTCCTCTACTCTAAGATCTCTCCCCTGACTCCATCTGACTGGTCCTTTCAGTCTTCCGTTCTGAGAAAATGTCCCCTCAGAGAGGCCTTATCGTTACTTGCTTCCTGTCACAATCTGCGCCTGTATCCACCCACTATTTCCTTCAGACACTTTCTATTACTTAGATGTTGTTATTATTGAGTTCCGCTCTTCCACTGTAGGCCCTGTAAGAACAGGGGCTACTATATCCCATAAGCCCCACGGAAGAGTTCCACTCAGAACTTGTCCTCAATACACATTTGCTAGGTCAGCCTCTTCAGAGCATATGAAGAGGTCTTGCTAGGGTCTCCCACAGAATTTCTCTTATCCTCATTCTGTCCCCCAGTGATTACTCCACCAAGAGAAAGGTTAGACGAAACAAATACAGACACCCATCTTTCTGAGGGAGCCTGGAAGAAGCCTAATTTAGACAGAGCGTTGAGGCATACTTGAGAAATAAAAACAGAAACCATTGCTTTTCCTAGCCTGGACAAATACAGTTCTACCACAAGAGGCTGGAGAAACACAAGGGTGTCTATTTCCAGGCCTGATCTAGGAGGAACCTAAGCTTTTCCCATGGAGGACCATGAGCTCGGGTACCAAGTCACAAACTCAAAGTGTCAGGGACTAAGTCTTCACACTAAATCTAACTCTCAGAATCTCCCTGTGAGAAGGAAAACTGGGGCACAGGTTTAGGCTTGGTTCCACGGCATATGGCTGATGCAGCCGGCAGAGCCTGCGCTGGCTGTCTCTCAAGGGTGCTCTCTATGCACTTGTATAGTCTGTGTGTGTGTGTGTGTGTGTGTGTGTGTGTGTGTGTGTGCGCGCGCGCGCGCGCTGTAATGCGCATGTGGGGGTCAGAGGACAACTTGCAGGAGCCGGTTCTCTCCTTCCACCATGTGCATTCTGGAGATTGAACGTGTGTCATCGGACTTGGCAGCCAGTGCCTTTACCTGCTAAGCCCTTCAGTTTTCTTTTAAAGTTGTTTTTGTTTTGTTCATTTTTTTTTTTATTAGCACAGCAGTAGAGAGGGAGAGGGACTCCAAGGTGAGTAATATGTGTACAAAGGCTCCCTCAGTTCTCGCTCCCCTTGGGCTCTTGTCCCACAGGTCCTTTAGTAGAACCAAGCTTATTCCACTCAGAATATCACGGCACATTCAGCCTCAGTTGTCACCCCTGAATGATCGCCAGTGGGATCCCAGCAATTGTGGCTCACCCGGATGTCGGAGAACAGCCAGGTAGACACTGCTAGTCGGGTAGCCACGCGGACCCTCTAATTCAGTTAAAAGTCCTAGTTAGGGGCTGGAGGGATGGTCAGTGGTTAGAAGTGGACACTAAAAGTGGACACTAATCTTCCAGAGGAAGCCACACTGCCTAACTCAGAACTGCATGTATGTCTAGTTCCAGGGCATCCAATGCCTCTAGTCTCTGTGGGCACCTGCACTCATGTGTTCATCTCCACACACAGATACACACATTTACATAATTAAAATAATTAAGTGGGAAGTATTTAGTTATACCAAGTCTGGTGATAGGGACCTATAATCTCAGCTACTTCAGAGGCTGAAGCAGTTCTCCAGTTGAAAGTTTGAGGCCAGCCTGGGTAACTCTGTAAGATTCTATCTCAAAATGAGAAATGAAAAGAAGGTTGGAGGACTGGGGATGTCACTCAGTGGGTGGAGAGGTTCCTGTAGCAAACACAAAGTCCTGGAGTCTATCTTTAGCTACTGGGGTTATGGTGGCACATACCAGTTATCCCTGCACTTGGGAGGTGGAGGCAGTAGGATGGGGGGCGGGAGTTAAGGCCAGTCTGAGCTACATAATACTTTACCTCAAAACAAACAAAAAAAAACTCAAAAAAACCAACCAACCAACCAAATCACTGAGTATCTGAGTATGTAGCTAGACGAGAGAACACACTTCGCTAGAATGTTTGAAACTTTAGATTCAGTTGCTAATACTGTGTGTGTGAGCGCACGCATGTGCGCGCTCACACACACAAACACACACACACTATCAAGCAAACAAGCAAATCTCCATCTGTAGCAGGATGCTGCTGGACTGTAGGGGAGAAGGATGCTCGCTCACTCACAGACATGCTGGTCCTCTGGGATCCTGCTCTGTGCTAGAAGGCAAGTGGCCCAGTCCTTTCGCTCCTGTCTGTGGCTCCCAAACAACCACCAACCCTTTCTTCCTTCCTCAAGGTGTTGGGGTCAAACTCACGTCCTTTTGCATGCCAGGCAAATGCTCTACCACTAAGCTACGGGCCTGATCCTCACCACTATTTCTGATTATACTTTGGCTTCTAAAGGATATAGTCTACAAAAAGAAAACACACCAGGTGGTGGTGGTGCACGCTTTCAATCTCAGCACTGGGGGAGGGGCAGATCTCTGTGAGTTCAAGGCCAGTCTGGTCTACAGGGCTAGTTCTAGGATAGGCCCCAAAGCTACAGAGAAATCGTCTTGAAAAACCAAGAAAGAAACACACACACACACACACACACACACACACACACACACACACACACA